TTTGCGTCAATTCCTAATCAAAAAACACTGCATTATCTTGGTTAGTAAAATTAAATATGTTAAAAAGTATAACACATGGACTTAAGAAGATTCATAATAAAGGAATTATTCATCGAGATTTTCACAGTGGCAATATACTTGTTAAAATTAATCATGAAATAGCTATTTGTGATTTTGGAATTAGTAAGCCAGCATGTGAATCGCCGGATGATGAAATATATGGAGTCATTCCGTATATTGCGCCAGAAGTATTTAAAGAAGGGAAATTTACTACAGCTTCAGATATATATAGTTTGGGGATAATTATTTGGGAAATGACAAGTTGCTGTAAACCATTCTGTAATCGTAAACATGATTCATGTCTCATTTTAGATATTATCGAAGGCTGTCGTCCAGAAATTTTAACTAATACACCGTCACAATTTGTTGAATTAATGGAAAAATGTTGGAATGCAGATCCATCAAAAAGACCAACTGCAGATGAATTATTAAATGAAATTAGTTACAAATATGAAAAGTCTCTTAAATTTCCTGAGATTTCACATATCCAAATAATTAGTGAACAGCACGAGCAAGCGATCTATACAAGTCGTCCACTGAAATGTTTGATCAAAACTGCATTAAATTCACTCAATAAAAGGGATCGAGGTATGAAACTGAATATATAAAATTGTTTGGGTTCTTGTAACCGAAGTTTAAGTATATATATCTAGACAGTTTTTTTAAAATTTATGAATTTTTTTGAAAATTTGAACCGGGTTTCCTTTAAAATTTTATATTTTGAGAACCAATTTAGTCGCAATTTTTTACCATTTTATAATCAATAATGAATTTGTTATCTTTTTAATATTGTAGAAGCACTCACTTCGTTAAATACTAATTCACTAAGAACTTCTACATATGGTAATTATTTTTTAATTTAAATGGATCTTATTATAATTAACTATTTACTCTTGAAATCTATATATACTTTTTAAAAAAAGATTCTCAAGAAATTTTATTAGATATTATGAATGATGAAGCGTAAGTTTATACTAAGAAACTTACTATTTAAAAAATACAAAATATATACGGTATATGTAGAAAAATTAGAACTATTATATTTTATCTACCGTAAATTGTCATGCAAAATATCTGGGTATTTTACATTCCACGTAACAACAAACTTTGATTTACATCCCGGATATATTGTATGGAACGGTATATTATTTGGGATCTTGTGTAAGAGAGCTGAAATAATTGTCTTGTAAAATACCTAGACCTTTAATTTCTCGCATTTCATAAAGATGTTTTAATGCAGTTTCTGGTTTATTAATAAGCTAAAACTTCAATATGCGTATAACACCTTTAAGATTTTATGAACAATAAGATATATGGGTTGTTTCACAGCAAGTCTGTGCTTAGAACATGTAAAATATATATACTCTAAGCATGATTTGATATGCAACAATCCATATATCCGTGATTCTTAAAGACTTAACCGCCAATATTTTTTTTTGCTTGATGTTTTTTTGCATGTATTTTTTTAAACACTGAAATAAACACTGAAAGTTTAAAATACATTTTGCTCAATGATTACGTAATTCGAGTAAAAAACAGTATTTTGGAATGTGTGCCAGGTTATTGGCGTATTTATCGGCAATCTGCACCGATCAATTTCATATCTGATATTAGATATTTGTTTACTTATTATACATACGTACGCCTCCTATAAATGAAAATTTTCATCCTACATTTCACTAACTGTCCTGTATGTACTTTATAAGTTCTCTATTTTCTTTTAAATGAAATTATATAGCAGAAATACGTAAAACTTTATATATAAATATAATATGTAGATACCTTATTTAACTTTTAAAAGTGAACCCCTTTTTGACGGTTAGATTAGGAAAACATTACTATTATTCTTTATATTAAAATATGGTTTAAGTAAGCTATATGAAATAATTATTGTTTAAAGAATTTTTTTATAAACTGTACATATATATGTATCTTATCAGATATACATATTCAATATTCATTTGGAATCGTTGCCCAAACTTTTAAGGCCAATATTTTCTTGTTATTTCATATTTAATTAAGAGCTTCAATTATTCTTAATTGTAAAAAAAATGTTGAATGACACTATGATAAAATGTGAATAGTTCTTTAAATTCGAACAACTATAATATTATAGACTAAAATTGTAAAAAGGCGAAGATGTACTTTTTTGAAATTAAAAGATATGATTCAGGTAAAAATAGCTTCAAGATATCTTTGATAAATAATGTTTTTATTCATTATAATTTGTATTGTAGTTCACACTTGAATTATTAAAATTTTTTAAATAGCGCAAGTTGATTTGGCTGATTAATGCGCCACCAACCTGGCACATATTCAAAGGTGCTGTAATGAAAAAACCTCACAGTCATCTTAAATATCGGATAACCAGTCAAGCATCAATATTCATGTTCCGCGTCGTTATGGAGTTTAGGTCGATCCGGAATTGGCACGTGTCATTCATGAATCGTGAAATGAAGTAGAATCGGTATCCATTTACTGATTAAAAAAAAAACGAAAAAAAAGATTGAAAAAAAATAAAAATTAATTAAAATAAGATAAATTTAAGAAATAAAAATAAATTATTATATGCTCTCTTAACGTTAATTGCTAGCTAAACTTTTATACATTAAACAAAAAATTAATAAATTTATGAAATAAAAAGCTAATAAAAATGATTATATGCTCGCATAACGTTAATTACTAGCTAAATTTTCATACATTTAACAAATTCATTCAATTAATAATATATAATTTAACCATGTAATTCACAGTTTTTACATTTCCGCGCAAAACACATCTGCATTTTCTTGAGCATAATGAACTCCTTTTTCTGCAAAAACATACTTTTTTGTCGCAATATGTTTTCTGTTTCTTGTCGGGTGTCTTGACTTGAACCAATATTATTATATTATTATTCATAACACTAATGTTACAAAAAATTATATAATTAATATTAATATTAATAATAATATTATTATTATTATGTTTTTTATTACTTACTCAAAAAACATTTTGGTGGTATTTACTAATACTAGGGTTGAGAATAGACATAGTCTAATCAGAAATATTATTGTCTAATTGTCTAATAATTTATTTGCCTAATTGTTGAATTGTCTAATATCTATTCAGTTTAATTGTGAATAAATAATGTCTATTTAAATAAAATTTAATTAAACAATATATCTATTTGTCTCTTGGTCAATTGGTTTAATTAGTTTATAGTAATATAAATATAATAATTATTAAACAATTCATTTGTATTATTATTTATAATATACAGTATTAAGTAATAAAGTGTTACACTATATAAATAAAATAGAATAGTTTTATTTGTAAATATATCTGCTAAGTTGACTAAATCAACTAGCCTTCTAATCGTCTTACAACACTAGATGAAACCTCTTGATGAATTTATTTATCCAATTACTTATAAAGTTTAATCAATTAATTTAAAACAATTATTTTTATATATAACTAAAAGTAAAGATTTAAATTTATTTAAATAACATGATAAATATATGAACTTTTGTAAACATATGGGCCGATTTTTGGAATTTATAAGTAGAGTATATTTTTTAAAAAAAAAACTTTAAAGCTAAATAACTTCTGATCTACTGGTCCATTTTAAATGATTTTATTACCAAAATGTTTGTCTTTTTGAGACGATTCCAACGAGCCCAAAGTCATTAAAATCTAATTACAGGATCGTGAGATAATGCACTGTCAAATAGTGACGCACCTAGAGGGTGGGGATGATTGGTTAGTCCTATGTCTAACCAATCAACCCACCCTCAGGTGCGTTACTATTTGACAGCACATTAACTCATGATCCTGTAATTAGATTTTAATGATTTTGGGCTTATTGGAATCATCTCAAAGAGACAAACATTTTGGTAATAAAATCATTTAAAACTGACTAGTAGATCAGAAATTATTTAGCTTTAAAGTTTTTAAAAAATACACTCTGCTTATAAATTCTAAAAATCAGCCAATATGATTATTTTGTAGATAAAATCAGAATATAAAAATAATAAAAGATATTAATGAGTTTGAAAATAATAAAACTAATCAAAAATATAAATAGTATTATGAAATTTTAAAATGACAAAATCATGAATAGAAATAAAAAAAATATTCAAATAGAATTTGAAAGTTAAAAAAATTACAGTTATGTTGATAAAATAAAAGTTAATTTACTAAACTTACCAAAAGAACTTAGCAGAAACTTTGAATTTTTTAATAATATAATAATTATAACATTTTTGTAAAATTTAAAAATTGTTATTTTATAGTTATAAGTCTAACTATATAAATACAATACAATTAAAATAAATATATTAAAATAGTATTATAACTATATTATAAAAATATTTTATTATATTAAATTATTAAGTTGTATAATATTTTATAACTATGCAAAAAATAATATAATAACAATATAATAATAATATAAAAATATACAATTTTATAACTTATATTATTTTACTATTAAAATTATATTATTATATTATCCAAAAAATACAGGTTTCTGCTAAAAAACTATTTTATAACTAAATCAAAATATTCTCTTATTATATGGAATATAAAGAAATTTTATCAATATTTATAAAGACTCTGATTTATCAAAATAATTAACTACTATACTTTAACTTGTTTAGACTTGGCTCAATTCATATTAATTTAAAAAAATATTTATAGAAATACTATAAAAAATGGCTAATTTAAATAATAGAAAGCCAATTAATTAAAACAAAAAAAATTATCAAAATAATTTAGATAAAAATTTTCTTAAAACTATTTAGACTGTTTAAACTTTTAGTCATATAATCTTATGGATATTGATGTCTGTGAAATTAATCAATCAAAAATATATACTAGATTTGATATAAAGGTTTAACTATATTTGAATAAATAGTATATTAGTTAATTTGAATCTAATAGAAAGAATATAAATAAGGTTATTGGTTAAACTTTAGTATAGATAGGCAAATATAAAAAATTATAATATAATTTTTATACAGATCTTCTTTAGTATAGGTAGGCAAACTCTGATAAGTAATATATATACATATTATATATTAGCTAAATTAAACTTGTTTAATATTAATTTACTAAGCATTAACTTAGCATTAACTTATTTTATATTAACTCACTTAATATTAACTCAATATAACTTATTTAGTATTAATATTAATTAACTCAATATTAACTTACTTAGTATTACCAGTAACTAGTATGTGAAATTTAATTTTGATTTTATGTTTTCACTGAGAATATTTTTCTAGTTCTTAATATTCTCAAAAATTTTTTAATGTTTTCAATATAGAAAAATTAAATTTGTATAATATCAAAAAATCTATTTAATGTTCTTATATAGAAAACATATTTTAATGAATTATATTCTTAAAATTTTATTAGTGTTCTCAGAGAATATTAAGAATATTAAATTTCACATACTGCTGGTAACTCAACTATAACCTATTTAATATTAATATTAATATTAGCATATTAAAAGTTGCATAATTATGTAATAAATATTTAATCACAAATTCTGAAATTAGTTGTCTTTTTTTAAATAAATTTCTGGCAAACTATACATAAGGCAGTATGAATAAAATAAATTAGTGCTAATAATAGAAATCTTCAAAATTTTCAAGAAAAAATTTTATGTAGTGAACTTATCTTGTAAACAATTAAAACTACTACTTAATATTCTAATGTTAATAAAATATTCATGGTGATATATTCATACAAATTTTCACAATAACAATATTTTGCAAAATAAAGATATCAATAAAAATATGCAATCTCAGACCCAGGATTGTTTAAAAAAAATAGTGAAAATAATTTAGTTATTCTGTATATAAGTCATTATATCAGAGATATAATAGGACAAAGATCTTTTGATAGTTACAAATTTAATCTTGGTCTTGCAACAGAAATTTGAAGTTTGAATTTGCTTCTAGAATTCGAATTGATATATAA